AAGTAATTGGAAAGTCATTCATGACAATAATAAATAATGTGTATTCTTTTCCTGTGAAAAGGGTCCTCCCGGAACAGGGAAAACCACCAGCATCCTCTGTTTGGCCCGAGCCCTTCTGGGCCCCGCGTTGAAGGACGCCGTTCTGGAGCTGAATGCCTCCAACGACAGGTAAGCCACGAGGGCTGCGGGGGGAAATCGGAAATGGGGCCGTTCCGTCTCGTCTCCTGGAAGAATAAACCCAAGGAGTTTATCGTAGTCTTCACAAATAATAGATCAGAAATTGATTCAAGCACACCTGCAGAGTTAAAGGACTGGCTAGCTCCGAATTGATGTATTTCCAAAACGGATTGCATCTGGGAATCGCAGGTGTGTAAAAACATATTTTTGTTGCTGATGGCAGTCCTGAAGACCCCTCTCTGCAAATCTCATGACCCACTGAGTTGATTTTAAAAATGGCTGAACCTTCTGTTTTTAGAGGTATTGATGTGGTGAGGAACAAAATCAAGATGTTTGCGCAGCAGAAAGTCACTCTTCCCAAAGGCCGGCATAAGATCATCATCTTGGATGAAGCAGACAGGTGAGCGGGTAGTAAAACCACTCTGTAAAAATTATTATTATTATTATTATTATTATTATTATTAGCTTGGGTCCCCAACCCAAGGCTAAAGACTTTCTATTATTATTATTATTATTATTATTATTATTATCATCTTATATTATATTAAGTATTATCATTATATACCTTATTTTGCGTATTACTAGAATAGGAGCATAGTGTCTAGATCCGTGATGGTGAACCTATGACACGTGTGTCAGCACTGACACGCATGGCTATTTTTGATGACACGCAGACACATGTGGCCACATACAGAGAAATACACCTTATAAGAGCCAATCTAATTCCATCCTTAAATTTGTACAAATTTAACATCTGCACGTTTGAGCATTGTTCACTCCATAACTCAGCATGGATTATACATTTTTCTTATTTAAACTATAAATATTGCAAAATTGTGTTTTTTTTCTCACAATGACACTCCACCCAAGTTATGCTCAGGTTTTTGGGAAATTTTGACACACCAAGCTCAAAAGGTTGCCCATCACTGCCCTAGTTATTTGAATAAATCTATTTTTAATTGTGCCAAATGCATAAGGTTGTGGGTGAACTACAACTCCCATCATGCCAGGTGAACCCCTTGAAACTCCCATCACTACTCGAAGTTTGTTATGTTGGGCAAGTTTGCTGTAGATGCCTCATTAGTGAGGTTCAGTGCGCTCTCTGGCTAAACTACAACTCCCATTATAGTGAGTCAGTCCCCTCATATCCCTCCAGTAGGTTGAGTTAGTCATGAAGGTTCTGTGTGCCAAGTTTGGTCCAGGTCAATCATCAGTGGAGGTCACCATTTCTCTGGTTGTGGGTGCACTACAACTCCCAGAAAGGAAGGTCAGTTCCTCCCAAACTCATCCAGTAATCAAATTTCAGCATATCAAGTATGTGTGCCAAGTTTGGTCGAGATCCATCAGTGTTTGGGTTCTGGATGTAGGTGAACTACAACTCCTCCAAATCAAGATGAATTTTTCCAAAAACCTCCAGAATTTTTTTGCCAGTCGTGGGGGCTCTGTGTGCCAAGTTTAGTCCGATTCCATCTTTGGTGGAGTTCAGAGTGCCCATGGATTGCAGGTGAACTATAAATCCCAGTACGTACAACTCCAGAATGCCCAGGCCAATTCCCCTCAAAACCCACCAGTATTCCAATTTGGGCATATTGGGTATGCGTGCCAAGTTTGGTCCAGATCCATCATTGTTTGGGTTTATAGTGTGTAGGTGAACTACAATTCTCCTAAATCCCTTCAAAGACCTCCAGTATGTTTTGCTCGTCGTGGAGGCTTCTGTGTGCCAAGTTAGATCCAGGTCCATCATTGGTGGGTTTCAGAGTGCTCTTAGATTGCAGGTGAACTATACATCCCAGGACCTACAACTCCTACAAATCATGGTGAATTCTCCCCAGACCTCTGTAGTATGTTCAATTCCTTTGTTTGTGTCATAGAAAAGAATAGGAAAGGGTTATGGAAGAGGCAGTGTGCGGGGTCATGCAAATTCCACACCAATGGAGAGAGTCAGAAACACTGGGGTGTCTGTGGTGGAGGAAACACATACAATCTAGGATGGAATGGTCCCCAAATGAAAGCCTTCCCTTGGGTGGTGGGCAGTGTGGTGTAGGTGGAGGACACTGGCAGGGCTCTTGGACATATTTACGGCGCTCGCTATAACCTGCAATGTCATTGGAGGGAGGGCCACGGGTGTCTCCTGAGTGGTGGGAGCTAGCTTGTTTTCCTCATCTTCTCCCATGTCCCCCACGTAGCATGACAGACGGAGCCCAGCAAGCCCTGAGGCGCACCATGGAGATCTACTCCAAAACGACGCGCTTTGCTCTCGCTTGCAACGCCTCCGACAAAATCATAGGTGAGAGCGTTACTCCTTCCTGGGATCCGGCCTCTTTGGGGACCCCCTTTCCCATTTCCACTATGTTCGCTATAACAAAGGCCCAAAGTGTGTGTGTGTGTGTGTGTTGGGTTTGGGAAAGAATCCATCAACCTAAAACCCTTTACCTCTCCTTTATATTTATTATTTTAGTATATTATTATTATTGTTATTATTATTACATTTCTTACTCTATTATTTTACTCTATTATTACATTTGTTTTCCTCTATTATTACTGTTATTATTACATTTCCATTATTTTACTCTTCTTATTATTACATTTATTATTTTACTCTATTTATTATTGTATTATTGCATATCCATTACTCTACTCTAATATTACATTTATTATTTTACTCTATTATTATTGTTATTATTTCATTTCCATTATTTTACTCTATTTATTATTATTATTGCATTTATTATTTTACTCTATTTATTATTGGTATTATTACATATCCATTATTTTACTCCATTGTTACATTTATTATTTTACTCTATATTACTGTTGTTATTACATTGCCATTATTTTACTCTATTATTATTACATTTATTATTTTACTCTATTATTATTGTTATTGCATTGCCATTATTTTACTCTTATTATTATTACATTTATTATTTTACTCTGTTTTACTCTTATTATTACATTTATTGTTTTACTCTATTATTACTGTTATTATTACATTTCCATTATTTTACTCTATTATTATTATATTTATCATTTTACTCTTCTTATTATTACATTTATTATTTTACTCTATTATTACTGTTATTATTACATTTCTATTATTTTACTCTATTATTACATTTATTATTTTACTCTATTATTACTGTTATTATTACATTTCCATTATTTTACTCATTATTATTACATTTATTATTTTACTCTATTTATTATTGTTATTATTGCATATTTATTATTTTACTGTATTATTACATTTATTATTTTACTCTATTTATTATTGTTATTACATTTCTATTATTTTACTCTGTTATTATTACATTTATTATTTTACTCTATTATTATTGTTATTGCATTGCCATTATTTTACTCTTATTATTGCATTTATTATTTTCCTCTATTATTACTGTTATTATTACATTTCTATTATTTTACCCTTCTTATTATTACATTTATTATTTTACTCTATTTATTATTGTTATTATTGCATATCCATTATTTTACTCCTATTATTATTATTATTGCATTTATTATTTTACTCTATTATTACTGTTATTATTACACTTCTATTATTTTACTCTTCGTATTATTACATTTATTATTTTACTCTATTATTATTGTTATTATTACATTTATTGTTTTACTCTATTATTACTGTTATTACATTTCTATTATTTTACCCTTCTTATTATTACATTTATTATTTTACTCTATTTATTATTGTTATTATTGCATATCCATTATTTTACTCTAATATTACATTCATTATTTTACTCTATTATTACTGTTATTATTGTATTTCTATTATTTTACTCTTAATATTTTACATTCATTATTTTACTCTATTATTACTGTTATTATTGTATTTCTATTATTTTACTCTTAATATTTTACATTTATTATTTTATTACTGTTATTACATTTATTATTTTACTCTATTATTACATTTATTATTTTATTCTATTATTATTATTACATTTAATATTTTACTCTATTATTACTGTGCTGCATTTCCACCTTCGGCTTATACTCAAGTCAATACATTTTCCTAATTTTTTGTGATCAAATTAGGTGCTTCGGCTTATATTCAGGTCGGTTTATACTCGAGTATACAGACATAGATATATACATGATTTACGCTCTGCTTTCCCCCCAAAATATGGGGCGGATAAACTTTCAAAATAATTAAAATGCAAGGAAACGCTGGGGATCTGGGGTCAATCTGGTAGGCAGTTGGACCCCCCGGTGAGCCAAGGTCCTGGCTTGTTCAGAGGGGCTTCCCACCTCCTTCCTTCCCTCCCTCCCTTCAGAGCCCATCCAGTCCCGTTGTGCCGTGCTCCGCTACTCCAAGCTGACGGACAGCCAGGTGCTGGCAAGGCTCATGAAGATTGTCGAGAAGGAGAGCGTGCAGTACACCGACGATGGCCTGGAAGCCATCATCTTCACCGCCCAAGGGGACATGAGGCAGGTGGGTCGCCAATCCTCAAACCTGCCACGAGTAATACTTTAGGGACCTTTAAAAATGTTCTTTCATCCATTTTTAGCGGGACAGATTACATCAAGCACTTTCAGACTTTGGAGAGCTTTGGATCTTTGGAGAGCTTCTGTTCAACCATTTCAAAGCTCCCTCTTGAGCAGTGATGGCACGATCGTCAGCATAGATGAAACTTAGGTGGATTAGGAATCAGCTGGTTTTCCTCGTAATAGGCAGTAAGAGCACCTCAAGCTTTGGAGAGCTTCTGTTCAACCATTTCAAAGCTCCCTGCTTGAGCGGTGATGGCACGATCGTCAGCATAGATGAAACTTAGATGGATTAGGAATCAGCTGGTTTT